CTGCTCATTCACTGCTATATATACAGTAGATATCTGATAAGCACCTATTGTATAGCATAGGGAACCTTACTAAATATAATGGCCTATATGGGAAAATAATGTTAAAATTGATAAATGTATATATATAACTGATACACTTTGCTGTACACCTAAAACTAACACAACATTGTAAATCAACTATATTCCAATAAAAATTTAAAAGAGAAAATCATAATGGGCTATCACCTCCCACCTGTCTATTATCAGAGACAGGGACTTCCCTGGTGGTCCAGGGGCTAAGACTGCTTGCTTTCAGTTCAGAGGGCCCAGGCTCGATTCCTGTTCTGGGAATTAGATCCCACATGTTGCAACTAAGAGTTCACATGCAGCAACTAAAGATCCAGCATGTCACAATGAAGATCGAAGGTCCTGTGAGCCACAGCTAAGACCCCATGCAGCAAATAAATAGATAGTAAAAGAAACAGAAGACAATGGTAAGTGTTGGTGAGGATGAGGAGAAAAGTGACTTATGCACCTCTGGTAGGATGTAAATTTGTGCAGCCACTATGGATAATAGTATGGAGATTTCTCAAAAACTTAAAAATAGAACTGCTGCATGATCCAGCAGTTCTACTTCTGGGCATTTATTGGGGAAGAACAGTTTTAATCACTATCTCGAAAACATATCTGTACCCATATGATCATTGCGGCATTATTTCCAATAGCCAAACCGTGGAAACAGCCAAAGAGTCCAACAGTAGATGGATGGATAAAGAAGAAGTGGTATAGATACACGGTGGACTATTAATCATCCATAAAATGGAAGGAAATTCTACCATTTGTAACAACGCGGATGGACCGAGGGCATTATACTAAGTGATATAAGTCAGAGAAGGACAAATACCATATGACCCACTTATATGAAGAACAACAACAGCAAAGAAACGAAAACTAACTCAAATACCGAGAACAAATTATTGATCGATTGCCAAATGCGGAGACATTGGGAGTACATGTGGAGAGTGGGCAAAATGGGTGAAAGAGGTCAAAAGTACAGACTTTCAGTTATCAGACACGTGAGTCCTGGGGTGTAATAACATGGTGACTCTAGTTAATATTGTATATTTGAAATTTACCAAGAGAATAGATTGTAAGTGTTCTTATCACACACACACACACACACACACACACACACAGAGATCGGGGACTTCCCTGGTGGTCCTCTGGTTAATATGCCTTACAGCTCTTGGGCTTGGATCGAGTTTGCTGCAACATGGTGAAAAGCACCAATGAAGGTCAGAATCATGGTAAATATGGGACCCGTCCCGGTGCCTCCCTCAGAAAAATGGGGAGGAAAATTGAACTCAGCCAGCACGCCAACTACACCTGCTCCTTCTGTGGGAAAACCAAGATGACGAGATGCGCTGGGGTCATTTGGCTCTGTGATTCCCGCATGAAGCAGTAGCTGGTGGTGCCTGGACCCACAGCACCACCTCGGCTACCACAGGAGAGTCAGCCGTCAGAAGACAGGAGGAACTGAAGGGCCGGTAGGAGCGTCACCGTTTGATCAAGTTGCTGCTGTTACTGCTAAGTCACTTCAGTCGTGGCCGACCCACCAGCCCACCAGGCTCCCCCGTCCCTGGGATTCTCCAGGCAAGAGAAGCCATTGCCTTCTCCCGATCATGTTGCTAGCCTGTAATAAATGGGTTAATTTATATGACAACAACAACAGAAAAGAAGATGCCTGCCAATACAGGGGCCTTGGGTTCAATCCCTGGTTGGCGAACTAAGGTCCCACATACTGCAGGGCAACTAAACCTGTGTAGCAAAAATCCCATGGGCTGCAACTAAGTCCCGATGCAGCCAAATAAATAAACACATTTTTCTTAAAAAAAAAAACCACATGTAACTAGGTGATGTTACATGTTAGCTAATCGTTGGATTGTTTCACAATATATACCTGTGTCAAATCATTCTGTCATATAGCTAAAACTAATATGTCAATTATATCTCAAGCGAGACTAAATTTCAGTAACATCTGGGTATATTTTGAAATGTTTTCTATTTAAGTTTCAGAAATTATAGGAAGTGCAGATTTTTCTCAGGTTAAAATCTAATGTAGAAAAAACATTCAGGTCTTTTTGTAAACTGTTTTTCACACGAGACAATATTGCAATGGATTATTACACCTTCTGTAAACAAATTGCATTAATAAAATTGAGGGAGAAGGAGGTTTTCAATCAAAGTGAATGTAGGAATGAAATGTGAAGCGCGTAGTATTTGGCATCTACACAGGCAAGACCTCTCCTGGCTGCTAGGGGTGGGGGCGGGGGTGCTCGGCCAGAGCTTGGGGTGCTTCCCTGGAGAGCACGCTCAGGCACGCAGCCACAGTGGGGGGCTCTGCAAGCACTGGAGACAATACACAGGGGTAAAGATGTTTTTAAAATGTGTAATGATCTAGATATGAAAACGTTTTCTGTTGCACGTTCAGTGAAGTTCAGAGAGGCGCTTGCCGGAATCCACCTCTCCTTTCTGATGCATTCATTGAGTTAGAAGAAAACTTATGGAGATAGCCATGATTTTGTTTTTCATCTGTGTGATGAATAAAATGGCATCTCAAGTCTGTGCTTTGATACAGAAAGACTGCCACTGTAGTCTCTCTTACTTAGCTTCATAGTAACCAAAGGCAAACTCAGTGCTAGAGTGTCTGAATTCTCATTCGGTCTTTCCATGTGTAGGAAGTTTGGATTTCCAAGCCCCAAACTCAATGTGTTGAAAAGGTTTCTATAATTAAATGATCTTAAAATTTCTTTTTCCAGTTCCCTTTCTCCCTGATGGTAGAATATTTCAATTAGTTAATTCCAGATAAATTTAGTCCCTTCACGGTTTTTCTTGATCAGTCTTCAATTTTTTTTAATTGTAGTTGATTTACAGTATTGTGTTAATTTCTGCTGTATAGCAAAGTGATTCAGTTATACATATGTATATTGTTTTTCAGAATGGTTTATCACAGGATATTGAATATGGTTTCCTGGGCTATACAGTAGGGCCTTGTTGCTTACCAATCCGGAAAAAAAAAGTTGCAACCGCCAAACCCAAAACCCCAAGCCAACCCTCTCCCACCCCACCACCCCACCCCACTTGGCAACCACAAGTCTGGTCTCTGTGTCTGTGAGGCTACTTCTGTTTCTATATATACATAGAGAAATATATATATATAATTGTGTGTATCTGTGTGTGTGTGTATCTGTCTGTCTAGGGGAAAGGAGATAGTAATGTTACAGTACGATTTCTCCCCAAGTAAGTTATCGAAAAAATCACTTGTGTATCAAAGTTAGCGCATTTAAAAGATACTAAGTTACATTATTTGACTTACATATATCTTGGATCTATAACTAAAACGTTCTCTGTGAGCAAGAGCCATCTTTATTTTATTTTGCAAAATGAATATGGCTTTTTGCCTAATTTAGAAAACACTAATTGTACATTTCCCAAGGGCCATTTTAAGACATACTTTCTACATAATCATAGGGGTTATGTCTATGAAAACAACACAACAGAGGAATTTGATTGGGGCAATAAAATAATGAATAAGAGAATGGGTTTTCCACTTCAATTTATTGTGTAACTTTGCCCAATCACTTAATTTCTCTGAAGCTCAGTTGTGTCTCCGGCAGCTGAGCGATAACAAGCTTCTTTTTCCTAGGTTTGTTTTGATGATTAAATAAAATGAGTACAAAGTACTTTTGAACTGGTTTACAAAGTTAACTATCTCTGTCATAATCACTATGATTATGGAATTTGAGACTCTATGAGAACAATATGGAACCTGAGGGCAGGGGAAAAACATGACAGCATTTAGTTATATTTGCTAAGATTTAATATTGAAGACAAAACAAGGACCCACCCACCCACAGAGGACGTTGTATAGATCTGAAGTTTGTAACAGCGAGTCTAGTTCTGTACCTTTTCATCCACCATCCATTGTTCACTAACAGATTCTCAGTATTTCACTTCCGGGTTTCAGAGAATCTTTGCCTTCTGTAAGACAGCTGTTTCTTGAGTTTGGTTCTCTCTCCAAATGCTTAAGCCTTTTTGTTTTGATTCTAAGAGACTGCAGCCTCCCTTCACCTCACTTCTACCCCGACATGCTGCCCTCTTCCCAGAGGCAGAGAAACGCAGATGGCTAAGTGGGAAAGGCTTTGGGTAACATGCTCTGGCTCTACTCAAACCCCTGTTTCTTGCCCAGAGATACCGGATCACGGGCTTCCCTGGTGCCTCAGACAGTCCCTGGGTCGCGAAGATCCCCTGGAGAGGGCATGACAACCCACTCGTCTTCTTCCCTGGAGAACCCCATGGACAGAGGAGCCTGGTGGGCTAGAGTCCATGGGGATGCAGAGTTGGACACGACTGAGCGACTCAGCACAGCACAGCACCGCACCTTGTCATGATCACAGCCTGGCCAGAACACCCTGATGCCAGGTGCTCCCCCCCTGCTCCTCTCCTACCCCCGAGCTGTGTGTGGTTCTAAGGAGCGTGTTCTTATGTTATACATGCCAAGGATGTATACTGCCTCCCACCTCATTTTCTTCTTTTATATTGATTTGTCTTACTCTTCTTCCCCTTTTCCGAGTAATCACAACAGAAATTGTGATCACAACAGAAATCATAACAAACAGAAAAAGGCCACTCCTTTAAGCTGAAACTGATGTTCAGATTGTTCAAGTGACATCTGGATAGAAATTCACATATGTTAGAATTCATGCAGGAATACTCAAAATAGTCGAGATACCTGCACTTTTTTTTTTTTTTTTTACATTCCCCAAATCCAGTTACTCAATTTAAAAATCTTTAATGGGATTGAATCTTGCTTTTCTTGGAGGGAAGGAACAGAACCTGATGGAGAGAAACAGGAAATGAAAAAAGCCAAGAATCTGAAAGAAAGTAAATCAAGGAGAAGGACTCTGCTTATGGTTCTTTATATGTTGTTTTTAACTAAAGAAATGGACTCAGCACCAAACTTGGAGGCAACACAAGGCAAGCATTCATTTTTGGGGGTGGCAGTGCCCTTCTTAGCGACCCCACTTTATTGAGGATGTTGCCACTTATTTGTTCCAAGGGCTTCCTTTTTTTCACAGGGGACGGGCGCGCCTCTTCTTGGGTTCAGGATTCGTGTCCTGCGGAGATTCGGGACTTTTCTTGGCCACGACAACATCATCAACCGTCAGAAGCTGCTGAACCACGTCAGCCACAGCTCGAAGTCCTTGGGCTTTGGCTATGAGGGTGTCCCACACTTCTTCCTGGGCCACGTTTATTATCCCCTCGACCCCTACTCCTATGAGGAAGTTTCCAGCCTGGTGAGCTCCGTTCATTTCTGCCATCACGTCGGGGACGGCTAAGCCCGCGTTCTCTGCCAAGGTTTCGGGAAGAGACTGCAGGGCCTGGGCGAACGCCAGGAAGGTGGGGCCGTTAGGCCCTTCCAGTTTGGTTCCTTTCTCCGAGAGCATCTTCGCCAGGGCCATCTCTGTGGCCCCAGCTCCGGGGAGCAGTCTGGGGTCCTGGCACAGCTGGAAGTAGGCGTCAATGCCGCCATAGACGGCCTGCTCGGCCTCCCGCAGCCCATGGGCGGTGGCCCCCCTGAGGACCAAGGTGAGGGCAGGGGTGCCTGAACTCTCCCACTCAAACACCACGGCCAAAGCTTCTCCCAGCTCCTGCCCATACACCCTCTGACACTTCCCTGGTTCCAGCGGAGGAAGGAGGTAAGGCGTCAGAGGGGTGCGCAGCACCTCGCTCAGATAAACCATCTCCCGCCGGGACGCGACCTGGATCACCATGAGGCCGTACTTGTCCGCGTGCGTGAGGGTCTTCTCGTCGATGTCCCCCGAGACCACCACCACGTTAGCCACAGCGGCCAGCTGGGCCACCTGCTTTTCTATCAGACTCTCGCTGCCTTTCCGGAACCGGATCAGGTCATCGGGGCTGGAGAGCCGGGCGGTGGCCGGCGCAAGGGAGCGGGCGGGCCCGAAGTCGCAGGCCAAAAGGGCCACGCGGGCGCCGCTCAGCACCATGGTCACCTGGCCGCAGGGCTTGCCCGGCAGGGCCAGGCCAGGCAGCAGGCACGAGTCCTCCTGCCGCGCACCTGGCAGCGCGCACACGCCCACGCGCTCCGGCCGGAAGCCGCCGTCCAGCTCCCGCGTGGCCCAGCACGCATGCGCCACCAGCCCGGCCAGGTGGTCGGTGTGCCAGAGCGCGTGCGTGTTCATGACCGAGCGCAGGGCCCAGACCGGGTCCTCCAGAGGCCCCAGCGCGCGGACGGCTAGCGACGGCAGCAGGGCCAGCGTCTCCGCGGCCACCGCTGCGTAGGCCTCGCGGAGCTGGGCGCGCGGCAGGCCGGCCCGCAGCAGGCGCTCGGCCTGCGCCAGCTGCGCCTGGGCCAGGAGGACCACGAAGGCCGCGCCGTCGCCGCTCTGCTCCGCCTGGCCCTGCGCCGCCTCCCGTAGCAGCCGGGCGGCCGGGTGCTCCAGCTCCAGCGCCCGTAGGATGGCCGCGGCGTGCCCCGTGAGCACAGTGTCGCCTTTGGCGGTGACCAGGAGCTTCTGCCGCCCCTGGGGCCCGTAGCAGGGCCTCAGGACTCGGGCCAAGGTGTGCGCCGCTGCCAGGCTGCTCAGCAGGTGCTTCTTCTCGGCCGGCAGCCGCTCGGGCAGCTCCGGCGCAGCTGGAGGCGCTCTGCGGTCCATGGCACGCGCGGCGGCCCAGTGGGCCGCACACACGCGCTAGAACAGCCGCGAGGCGCCCAGGCAGACGATCTTTGAAGCCTCTCGAGGGGTCAGTGGGAAAAGCAGTCTCTAGAGAAGCAGGCACAAGGGTGATCTGCTGAGACCTCAGCCCTAAAACCACCCCCACCCCCCCGAGTTATCTGCAAAGGGACGAGCCCTCGGGGCCTCCCGGGCTAGTGTGCCGAAACAGATCTTATCTCGATTAAGTCACAAAGTGGCACTTGGAACCAGGCAGGGAATGAGGTCACAGAAGGACGGAGCATGAGTTGGGAGGCTCTGGGGCAGGCGGCCGTCAGGCCTGTTGTCCAGCAGAGAAAGGACACCGGTGCCCGCGGCCCCGGAGTTTCTTTTAAACTTTGGAGACAACAGAAGAGGACAGAGAAGAGAAAACCAAAGGAAAACACCCGGTTTCTTCAGATTCTGGGTGATGCTGTGGCTCCTGTTTGGTTGGTTGGTTGGGGGTTTGTTTGTTTGTTTTGAGAAGGAAACGGTTTTGTTTACTTCTTGTGCAGTCCTCTGTAACCCTAGCCACCTCAGTTACTTGTGTGCCCCGGCCTCTTTGGCTACCTTATCCTCGTCAGGTTCCTTAAGTGTCTGCTGGCCTGTTTCTTTCAAGCTGCAGGAGTGAGAGCCTGCCCAGCGTAGGACAGCTCTTCCCAATGACAGTAACTGACCTGGCAAAGGCCGGTCGAGACAAGGGAGGGCAAGAGGCCGACAGGCTGCAGACGGTAGTAGACACGGACGGACGCAGAGGAGTGAGAGTGAGGAGGAGGGCGGCAAACCAGAGTGAGTGTCCCACCCACCCTCTGCCCTTACAATCTGAGCTCCTTTCTTCCGACCTCCCTCTCTTCTGCTCCTTCCTTTCTGCAGGTGGCACCTCCTGGAGTAATGGTTGCTTCTTTTTAAGTCTGCATAACAAATATTCATGAGCATCCAGCTCATAGTTCAGTGTACTGGGGACACAAAGATGGCAGGCACATGAGACCAGTGCAGGAAAGGGATTGGTACCAAGTGAGTACAACTTCCTTAGGTGTTGGGGTGCTAGCTGGCACTGATGAACTGGCTGTTAAGATGAGGGAAAGACATGTGACATCTGGGGACCCTAAAGAGAAATGACACAAATGAATATTCACAAAGCAGAAACAGAGTCACAGACGTAGAGAAGGAATTCGTGGTTACCAGCCAGGAAGGACGAAGGGAAGGGATCGATAAGGAGTTGACACGCACACACTGCTTTATTTAAAATGGATCACCTGCAAGGTCCTACTCTACAGCACAGGGAACTCGGCGCAGTGTTCTGTGGCAGCCTGGATGGGAGGGGAGTTTGGGGGAGAATGGGTATTTCTGGCTGAGTCCCTTGGCTGTCCGCCTGAAACTATCACAATATCAGCTATACTCTGATATAAGATTAAAAAAAAGATTAGGGAAAGAGAGGAAAACCATTTTTCATTTGGAAAAACCGTTTTTACTTCATTTAATGGCAGATGAAAAAAAAGGAAAAGTTCTAAAAAATAGGACTCTGAAACTGATTATACCAGCCAGGATTGGTGATAGTTTGCTGAGTGTTGGTTTAATATTTCTACAGACAAGCGGATAGTAATAAAGAAAAGGAAAAGGATGTCACATGAGTGTTAAATACAATCAAGGCTAAAAAAAAGAGATAAATTTGGAGAAAAACTTTTTCTCTGAAAAATAACTTGATTCCTTTTGTAAAAATGATAGCCATTCATCACACAATTTAAAAGGAAAAATAACAACCTAAACCTTATTTGGAATCCCAGCCCAGAGACAGTCTTTGTTTATATTTTGATGAACATTATTACTTTATGTACATATGTATATATTGATTGTTGTGGATTTACACTTTTACATAAGTGGGTTACATGATACATATTGTATAAGCTTGACTTCAATAATTTCCCCCTTGATGTTATCTTGGATGAGAAGTATTTCTAAGGATATACTATGTTGCCAGAAGACTGTGGGCAACTATTTTACCTTTTTAAATTTTAGAGACTCCATTAGAAAAGGCATGATCCTCCATGCCCCATTTCTGAAAGCCAGTAACGCTGAGAAGAGTGTCACATAACGAATGCTGGTTATAGGGGGCAAAGAGGACTTGCTTGTTTCATTATAGAAAAGTAAAATGTAAAGACCAAAAAAATGTAGCAAAGTATGGGTGTATACTTGTATACCTCGATATAAATACAGTTTTTTTTTAACTTAAATACTCCTATAAGGGATCATCTTAGCTGTATTTCTTAAACGTAACATTTCCCCGTTTATTTTACTTATTCAGCAACTCTCTTGGGCCTCTGCTGAGTCATAGGCATGGAAGGTGAATAAGGCAGACACGAGGGGTGGTCTCCTGTGGACTTAGGTTGGGATGCAGACAGCTAAGGGGGCCATTCATTACCGGCCAGGACAGCCGTCAAGGGGAGAGGATGGGTACTGTAGAAGCATTGAGGGGGACTGCAGCCTTCATCATGGGGAGAACGGTGGTCAGTTCTCCCCCTGACTGAGGTGAAGTCTAAAGAGATCTGAAGGGCTTCCCAGGTGGCTGAGCGATAAAGAATCTGCCTGCCAGTGCAGGAGCCGTGGGTTTGATCCTTGGGTCAGGAAGATCCCCTGGAGGAGGAAATGGCAACCTGCTCTGCTATTCCTGTCTAGGAAATCCTAGGGACAGAGGAGCCTGGCAGGTGGGCTACAGTCCACAGGGTTGCAAAAGAGTCAGACACGTTGTAGCGACTAAAACAACAGAAAGTTGAAGGGGAAAAAAAAGGAAGTGGGAGTTGGCCAAGGGCTGGCGGGGTGGGAGGGGCTGGGACCGCCTGGGGAGGTTTGGAGCCCACCAAAAATAGCCCTGAAGACTGGAGTTCAGGGTGCGGGCCAAAGGAAAAGGAGCACTTTGGAGGGTGGCAGGGACTCTCCAGGACCTAGGGAGCCATGCGGAGGAATTTAGAACTCAGCCTGAAGGCTGATGCCCGGGACTGTAAGTTCCATGTCCGTATTCATTTTTGGTTTTGCTGGGTCTTTGTTGCTGCCCCAGCTTTTCGCTAGTTGGGGTGATGGAGGGCTACTCTTCTTGCGGTGCCTGGGCTCCTCCTTGGGGTGGCCTCTCTGGTTGCGGAGCATAGGCTCTGGGGCACATGGACTTAAGTAGTTGTAGCATGAGAGCTCAGTAGCTGCGTTGCATGGGCTTAGCTGTTGTACCGCATGTATGATCTTCCCAGACCAGGGATGGAACCCGTGTCTCCTGTGTCAGCAGGCGGATTCTTAGCCACTGAGCCACCAAGGAAGCTCTGAACTGAAATTTTCTGATGTACCTCTACACAGATCAAACTAACCACGGAACTACTGAATCTCAACTTTACTTGTTACTGTGTGGACACCACGGAGAAGGCAATGGCACCCCACTCCAGTACTCTTGCCTGGAAAATCCCATGGAAGGAGGAGCCTGGTAGGCTGCAGTCCATGGGGTCGCAAAGAGTCGGACATGACTGAGCGACTTCACTTTCTCTTTTCACTTTGATGCACTGGAGAAGGAAATGGCAACCCACTCCAGTGTTCTTCCCTGGAGAGTCCCAGGGACGGCAGAGCCTGGTGGGCTGCTGTCTGTGGGGTCGCACAGAGTCACACATGACTGAAGTGACTTAGCTTATGGGGACACCATTGTTGTTAAATTCACCTTGATTTTATTTGCATAAGTTGATTCCATGTAAAATAATGTAAATAACTTTTGTGTGCATCAAGAAGAGCTTGCATGCAGTTAACTCATATAAAAATTTCTAACAACATACACTGTGATCTGCTAAGATGGGTACGCATCAATATAGGCTGTTCGGTGGTTATATTGGGTTGAATATTCCCATCCCTCCCCTGCCCTCCCGCATTCACATTCTCTCCCAGAACCTCAGGATATGACCTTATTTGGAAGTAGGATTGTTGTGGATGTAATTATTAATTAAGATGAGGTCATACTGGTGGAGGGTAGACCATTAATCAAATATTCCTTTCGAGAAGACACACACACAGGAGAGCACCACGCGGGATGACACAGAGACACTCAGGGAAGTGCCACATGATGATGGAGGCAGGTAGGAGAGGTGCATCTGCAAGCTGAGGGACGCCAAGGACTGCTTGTCACGTCCACGTCCCCCCTGACACTGAGGGACGTGGAACCAACACTTCCCAGAGCCCACCACGAGGAACCAGCCCTGCTGACACCTTGGTTTTGGACTTCTAGCCACTGGGACTGTGAGAGAAAACATTTCTGTTGTTCTAAGCTGCCTATTTGGGGTCACTTTTTGCAGTAGCCATAGGAAGCTAATAACAGTAGTCATGGGTATTGCTGCAGCAAGGAACCTAAGACAGTGTATGTGTACTGGGCGGGCCTGTCTGCTGCCTTCTCCCACCCCTGCCCTTCCCCACATCCCCAGATGCATTTCTTTTAAAACTATGGTCTTGTACACATTAGATGTAAATATTTAATCTATTTGTGTGTTTTCCCATGTTTATTTTTCAGTTGCCTGACACCCTTTTTGTGGTTGTCTTGTTCAGTAGTGCTAGGTTTGAATTATAGAACCCTAGAGGGCCAGATGCATATCTCTGTAAAATGAGCTCTCGACCATCTCAAACTCTGATACACAGTTATTTCTGAAGGTGATTATTCTGTTTATTTCCTTCTCAGTTTCTCCCCTTAATTTTTCCACCACACAGGTACATGTACACAGGTATGTTATTGAGATAACTTATGTAATACAGTATGAATTTTTAAATTTAAAAATGCACTGTGGACTAAATATGAACTCATTTTAAGTGGCTGAAATTCTTTTAAAAACATTTTTTCCCCCACTGAAAAATAAAGGACCAAAAAAGACAGCACTTACTGAAACTTTTTGAAGTGCAACTTTAATAGTAAAAATATGAACAGAAATTTTATAAGATCTAGAATTTACATT